AATCTCAATTTCACTGAGTATGGGCGCTCTGAACTCCAAGTGCTCGTACTTCTGCAAACACAACTTCATATAATAATAATAATATAAGTGAAATAAAGGTAAAGCTATCCCTGTAACAGTCCGTGGAGACCTATAGGGTTGTGAGACGTCGAGGCTCCCACATTTTATAGGCAATCGGCTCATAGATGGCGGTGAGATTGTCAGCCTTACGCACCGGCCATCCTTTCCACCACCAGGAAGATTCCTGGTACTCATTTCTGTTAGAGGCTGAGTCGACCTCAGGGCCATAGTGCGTCTGGAAGGGTTAGGTCAATTGAAAAATCCAGTGACCTCATCAGTAATCGAATCCACGACCTTCCGGTTTGTAACATAGTGCCTCGATCAACTCCGTTACCGCGTGGCCCAGTAATAGCATACTGGCATTTTTTTTCTAGAATTGTGATAAGGTAAACCCTCGTTAACCCTTTCACAGTTATATGAAGAATGAAAAATGCCGTTCACAATTGAGTGCGTACTTTTTAAAAGACACATGACATTTAGGAAAGCAGATGAGTCACGTGTCTGTTGAGACAAAACTCGAGACACTTTCTTCAAACCTGCATTATCATGTTCAAAAACAAGTACAGCTTCTGAGTCTTCTATCCATGATTAAATAAATCGTATTTTTATGGTTTTGAAATAAAGGTTCTACAGTGATATTTTATTATTTATTTTCATCAGTACTGCTTGTATCATTAATTATTACATTTATTTGTGTTCAAAATTCTTTTTGTCTTTTAGGGTTACATTTTACTTCGATAATCCGGATTATCCCTTAATCCGGGTGGTCTCTCCCGCTCCCAATTATTCCGGATTAGCGAGGATTTACTGTGCTGAAATAATGGGTTAAATACTACCGTTTGTTGCTATCTTTTCTGGTTCTAGGGCAGCTAACTGACATTAGTTTTGAATTTTGTTACCATGGAAACGACGAATCTACAGACATTATGAAAAACATTTGCATGTTTAGTCTGATTATGTAATATAAAGGGGTAGCACTTCATATGCCCCGAATGTTATGTGACAATAGTTATAGTTTCTAGGGGTGGGGTGAGACTGAGTCCACTAGGTATGTAGGCCACTAGCGGACTATTGTACCAGCCCCGGATGATAGATGATAATTGTGCAGTAATTGGTGGAACGAGAATTGGCAGGGGAAAGTGAAGTATTCGGAGAAAACTTGTCCCACTTTCACTTTGTCAGTATGAAACTCACATGTCCTGCCCCAGGATCGAATCCGGTCCGCCGGGGTGGAAAGCCGGCAAGGCCTGACCGAAAATGAAGCCAAATGCTTTAACCAGCTAGAAGCAGTAGTAGTTCGTTTCTTGCGTCATATCCCAGACGACAGAAGGCCTTCTGTCCTGGGTTGTGACGCCGTGTAGTCCGATAGTAGGTCGCCGATGTTGGGGAAGAACTTGCTGCCCGCTTCTGACTACCTACTTGGCACTGGACCCTGAAGATGGAGACAATACTCTCCTCCGAAATGTACCATAAACTTGTACAGGATTACACGGCGTCACATCGCAGAAGAGTGTGCAAATTGTTTGGCAACTGTCTGTCGTTCAGATTGTACTAATTGCAGGCCAACTCAACTGACCACAGCTATGTTCTATATCTCGCCGCAACGAGTTCGAGCCCCGTTTGACATCAATGTATGTCACCAGTGAATCAATTCAGGCAGTGTGTCCTCATTTGCGAGTATGTGACACGATCACAGTAGCTTCCATAGCTAGAGCCGTGAGTTCGCGACCTGCTGTGTCCAACTGCCTTCTTCTGTTTTCAGCTGACCACAACACCAAGGCTACTGTAGCATACAGGTCTATATGCCTATTACGAAATTAATAGGCCGTCTAACACTGGACAGCCGATCACAGTGGCCTCGCGATGTAAAGCATGAACTGACTTCACCCGCTCTAACACTGGGACCTTGGGTTCGAATCCTAATCAAGGCATGTATGTCTGTGTTTGTGATGATCTGTGTGCAGGTAGCGGCCTTGTGACGGGCTGACCCCCGTCCAAGGTGTCCTACCGACTGTGTAAGAGATCAAGAAACTGAAAAGACGGCCAAGGCCGAACAAAGGGCTGTAGAACCATATATATACATATATATATACATATACATATATATGTATATACATATCTATATACATAGATAGATAGATAGATGACACTGAACAATAGCATGGCATTAAATGCTCTTCTTAATCATTCTCTGTATCTTTCGGTAAACTGAGTCTGATCTCCCCTAACTTTTTATTTTCTGTCTTAATGTTCCTGTCGTGACTAAACTGAGCGCAGTCAAAGTAGGAACATGTATTATTATTATTATTATTTATTATTATCATTATTGGAGGGGGTGGGTTTCCCCATGCACCGCGACCCCTGTGAGATTCTACCAGTCTCTATACCCTACCGATACAGGTGCGTGCCATGAGTCCCGACTCAGCCAGCGAGTTCGGCCTTTACTGGCTCAGCGGTATCTAGATGATTCCCCCATCTACCAGAGGCGTTAGAGACTATTGTTGGGCGGGAAATGTGCTTAATAATTTGGCTCAGACGTCTCCTTGAGGCATGGGGTTCCTTTACGTGCCGTAAAGCTACGACACGGGACCCACGGCTTAAAGTCCCTCCCGGAGGACTTGTTCCCTGAATTTTTCCGCCCTTAAAAATTCCACGACCTCCGCCGGGTATTTGAACCCGCGTACTACGAGTCATGAGGTGGGAACGTTACCCCTAGACTACGGAGGCCGCTTAGGAACATGTAACTCGTTGGCTTAATTCCCCATCATACAGCTCAGTTTCTAAAACACACAAACTTTAATTGACGCAAGTGCGGAGATTGGTGTAGAGAAAACTGTGTATACACACATGTTGCTGTCTCGTCACCAAAATGCAGGGCAAAATCATGACTCAAAGATAGGTAACAGATGTTTTGAAAATGTGGCTCAGTTCAGATATTTGGGAACGACGATAACAAATCAAAACCTGATTGAGGAGGAAATTAAGAGGAGACTGAATTCGGGTAACGCTTGCTACCATTCAGTCCAGAACCTTTTGTCTTCTCGTCTGATGTCAAAAAACATAAGAATTATAATATACAAAACTATAATTTTGCCTGTGGTTCTGTATGAGTGTGAAACTTGGTCTCTGACATTAAGGGAGGAACATAGACTGAGGGTGTTTGAGAACAGGGTGTTGAGAATATTTGGACCGAAGATGGATGAAGTGACAGGAGCTTCATAACTTGTACTCTTCTCAAAGTATAATTAGAATTATCAAGTCAAGGAGGTTGAGGTGGGGAAGGCATATAGCACGAATGGGGGAGAAGAGGAATACATATAGGATATTGATGGGAAAGCCAGAAGGAAAGAGACCACTGGGAAGACAAAGGTGTAGGTGGGTGGACAATATTAAAATGAATCTTAGAGAGATAGAATGGGATGGTATGGATTGGAGTGATCTGGCTCAGGATAGGGACCAGTGGAGAGCTCTTGTGAACACGGTAATAAATTTTCGGGTTCCATAAAATGCTGGGAAATTCTTGAGTAGCTGCAGATTTGGCTTCTCCTCAAGGAGGGCTCAGCTCCATAAGTAAGTAATAGGTTCTGTTCTATGTATGAGATTTTCATAACAGGTTCTTATCGGCGAGTGCAGAACACGTGTTTAGGATCACCGTATTAGCGCGCCGTGGGTGACGTCATTGTGCCCGGAAATTACTAACAACACGATAAATGTGTAGACACGTAAACATTATTAGCATTTATGTGGTTAGGTTACGTTCAGCTTCTGACTGAAATGAGTATCAGGAATCTTCCTGGTGGTAAAGGACGGCCGGCGCGTAAGGCTGACAACCTCACCGCCATCTGTGAACAGATTGTCTAGAAAATGTGGGAGCCTCGAAGTCTCACAACCTTATGGGCCTCCACGGCCTGTTACAATGATAGCTTTACGTGTAACTCTGAAGTCAGCATTTCTACTAAGCGGTTTGTCACAGCGTTGTAGCTCACTCGCGACTAATATTATGGCGATACTCGGTTCGAACCTCGGCCTCGATACTAGATGCTCTGACTGTCGTATTTCGTGGTTTTCCTAAGTCCCTCCAGACGAATGCCGGGATTGTAGCTCGAGTTAGGCAGCGCTCATTGCGTTACTAAATCTTTCAAACTCAACATTTATTTCCCACCTTTTCATTCGACGCTATGCAATCTAGGTACTGTGACATGTCAACGCATTGCTAGGCAACGGCTCGATAAACACTCCACAATACGCGCACGCAACAATAGGAAGAATGTTTATAGTTCGTTGCTAGGCAACAGTCAGCGCGCCGATGGACTGGGGAGATAGTTGTCACGTGTTTCAGTGACTAAGTCGCGGGCTTGGGTTGGTTAATCGGTTTATTGGATCTTCAATAGTCGTAACTACAATTAGTTCTTTCACTCTCAAGATTACTGTAACTATAGCAAATGTAACGTCACACACTAAATCGTTGCCTGGCAACAGTATTAAGAGCGTCGTTAAACAACTTACACGTTTAAGGGGTTTCAAGGTGGTGATTGTTCAGGTTGTGGGATTGCGGGGTTGTGACTTCTGACACCGTGTACTCTTGTAGAAAGTAAATTTTCCTCGAAGACGAAAGTAGCATATTCCTCCGAAACATCGGCGTCAACTTATAAGATTACGCGATATAGTAACCTAGAAGACCACAATCTGAAATAAATACATATTTGTAAAGATTTGTTTCAGTAAATGATTACAAGATATGAATTTCAAGTAACTTTAGTACACTGAAGGACATTTTGTTAGGAATACATCTACCACAGGTAACGCCTGTGTCACGCTGACGCATGCGTAGTGCATAGCTTGAACCCGCGGGATGCAAGACGATGACAGGAGCGGAAATACGTGTGCGGACACAGGGAACAGGTCTCTGAGACGGCCACATCCGGTTCCGGCTCTAGTGACATCGCGGCACACCGCTCACATGTCAACAATTGTATAGCGTGATTTCGTCTCTTTCAGATTACATCAGTGGTACTTAGAAAAACAACTGACTGTTAGTAATTAAACCGACATTTTAAGTGTTTATTATACACCTTGACCTCTTCTTATTATCAAGGAAACTGAAGTTAACTGTTAAAGATATGGAAACAGTGTTTATCTGCTAAATCTCAAACACAAGGTTCAGTGTTAATGGAGTTGAAATTATTACAGTTTACAATCGTTTTAAAGACATTTTCACCCGCCTTTAAGACAACCCAGTGTCTGGAATTATTGTCTACACAAGCATCATGTTAGTTGCCAAAGTAATTATATTAACTACCAAGATTGACAACATGAACTGTTATAAAGACTTTGAAACTCTACAACTGTAAATTATAAAATGTTTAAGTGTTCAGTTGACAAGTGTTCAGTTATGACAGATCTGATCTGTGAAGTTGAATTTGTGAGAGGTTAGTGCTTCGAATCCTGACATCAGCTATCTTGGGGGATGCTTCCATGAATTCACACTCAGTATATCCATGGATGATACCTTAAATTGGGACCCAGAGGTAATATCATGATCTTAATTAATTGCAATGTCTTGAATAAACTTAGAGTGGAACTGCGGGGTTGAAATTGCAAACATACAACTGTTTGCAGATTTTTTTAAAGTGTTCTGTAACAAAACCGCAAAGAAATCGGCACGTATCATTGAATTAATAAGTGCTTAGAAGGGGACTGTCCACAAAGACATATATTCATCCCGAAACTATTACTAAAAAAAAATCTGTATAAGAATTCTGAATTAAATTGCTAATTTCCACCAACATTTACTACGTCAAGCAAAAATTCATTTGATATGTTAATTTGGAATTGTTTTAAAACGATTTCTTTAAGGTACATTTTAATATTATATGAGGATAATATTAAAAATAAATTAAAATATTAAAACACCTTAAAATTGAGATATGAAGATGTGGGTTGTGGGCAAGTATAAGTATGGCAAGAAGCAGCGGTGCGGGGGTTGCAGCTGCGTTTCGGACGGAGATGCGGTGGTACTATGGCCATGTTATAACTAACACACACCCTGAAATCCTTATCTTAGTAGATTTTGCGAAGTTCACTGCTCATTTCGTTTAGTGGTCTATGAAAACATGGACATGCCTTGCAAATGGACATCCTGCTTGTCGGTCTAGCATCTAAGGCTAACGTATTCATGGAGGTCAGTGTTGAAAATTGAGTTGTACAGCAACTAGAATCAGTTGATGCTTTTTTAACGAGTGGGTAGAAGTAAGTAGAGGTATCCCTGTAGAAGGCTGTGGAGGCCCATAGGGCTGTGAGACGTCAAGGCTCCCATATATTCCAGACAATCGACTCATAGATGGCGGCGAGTTTGTCAGCCTTACCCGCCGGCCGCCCTTTACTCCTAAGAATATTCTAAGAATATTCCTCGTACCCATTTCTGTAATGATCAAGTCAAGGAGGATGAGGTGGGCAGGTCATGTAGCACGAATGGGGGAGACGAAGAATGCGTATAGGATATTGGTGGGAGAGCCAGAAGGAAAGAGACCACAGGGAAGATCAAGGCGAAGGTGGGTGGACAATATTAGAATTGATCTTAGAGAGATAAGATGGGATGGTATGGATTGGATAGATCTGGCTCAGGATAGGGATCAGTGGAGGGCTCTTGTGAACACGGTGATGAACCTTCGGGTTCCATAAAATGCCGGGAAATTCTTGAGTAGCTGCAGAATTGGCGGCTCCTCAAGAAGGGCTCAGCTCCATGAGTAAGTAAGTAAGCAAGTAAGTAAGTAAGTACTCATTTCTGTTAGAGGCTGAGTCGGCCCCAGGGCCATAGTGCGGCTGGAAGGATTAGGTCAATTGAAAAAATCAACATCATCGGGTATCGATCCCTCGACCTTCCACCTTGTAGCATAGTGCCTCAACCAACTACGCTACCGTGTGCCCCTAACCAGGGCGTTAGAATAATAAATATATTTCCATTTACCCTGTAGATTCTGTCGATTGGTGTGAAATACAGCGTCAAGGCAACCGGAACGGAGCAGCTATTCCGCATCTGTTCACACGTCACGACTACAGAATTTGCCAAACAAATGCTTCATATACACATCTGAGCGGCTGCAAAACATTTCAAAAGAAATTTCAAATAAATTAAATCAACTTCGTTTCTATAGACAATTTCTCGCGGAATTCAAAAGAGAAACTTTTACTGGGAACTGTAGAAAAGTAGTAAGACTAGGAACAGAACAAAATTTTATCTTTTAACTACCTCTAGTTTCCGGGGACACGCGGTAGTGTAGTTGCTTGAGGCACTATGCTACAAGCCGGAAGGTCGCCGGTTCGAATCCCGATGAGGTGGATTTTTTTCAATTTACCTAATCCTTCCAGCCGCACTAGGGCTCTAGGGTCGACTCAGCCTCTAACAGAAAACATTACCAGAAATGTTCCTGGGGGTAAAGGGCGGCCGGCGCGTAAGGCTGACAACCTCACCGACATCTGTGAGCCGATTGTCTAGAAAATGTGGAAGCCTCGACGTCTCATAACCCTATGGGCCTCAACGGCATGTTACAGGGATAGCTCTACTTACTTGTAACTTCCAGTAAAGATTACTTCTGTTAATGCAAATGTTTTCTATAAAGTTCGTGTCATCGTAATTGTTACAGCCCCCCCACCGTACTGCTTGTCCTCGTTGCATGTAATAAGAGTGGGGGGAGGGGATTTGGTGATAACACAAATGTCTGTCAACAGAGATACTGGAGGGGAATATCATGTGCGCCGCTAGAAACATACGTAGAAGATAACGTATAGACGTGAAGGGACATGACGGATGAATAAACAGCGTGGCGAGTGTCCGAGGAGGGGGAGTTTTCGTATTTAGAGGGATAACATAATGCAAAGTATCCTAAAATAAAATAGACAGTTCGCCTGTGTCGACTGATCAGTGATAGTTTACTCGAAATAAAACATACATCCAACATAAGGTTCCGTTCAAGCCTTTTATTTTATTTTCTTTTTACATAACTGTAACTCGCCTTTAAAACTGCCGGCAGCAATTTTTGGAAGAGATTCAAAACACTGAAAGTCTCCGAGCTGTAACAATCAAACGTGAGTAGTATTTATATCTGTCTTATAAAGGTTTACATACCGACACGACTTGTGACTTCTTAAACAAGACAACGAGGGAGTTACGTAAAGGTAGGTAAACGCTACAGTTATTTGTGTCAGGGTTTCAAGATAAGTTGACTCTTGTCCCTCGACGTTTCTTAACCCTTAAGATACAATGGTTACTATATATATATAATTTAAAACAATTGGTATATATACTAATTGTTTTAAATTAAAAAAACGTTATACGCAGTGTGTTTATGTGTTTTGTATAATTCCCGATATAAACGATGGTTATTTATGGGAACCTAGTGTTTCATGTGAGGTACAAATTTATTTGTTAAGTTTCGCTAAGCGTTCAGTGTTCGGAGATAGACAAACCCGTCCACTCGTCACAGATGACGCCCCACGAAAACAAGACCGAAACTGTCAAAGAGTAATAAATATCTGGTCATAAACCCCAGATTGGGCTCGACATCAAGACTCACTGACTGACTGACCGTCAGTCGCAGTGACTTTGACTTGAATCTCGAGAGGAGTTTCCGTGTGAAGGCGGGCTCGAATACCTCCACCGTGACTCTGCAAGTCGTAGGAGGCGACGAAAAGGGAAGTCTCGAATATGGGACAGTAAAATATGGCCATGAGTCCCAAGGGATTCGGACCCGAGGAAAACTGCGCTGGCAAGAGCCAGCAGCCTATACAAAAGTCAAACCTGTCCTCTCGTCAGAGAGGGCGCCCCACAAAAACAAAGAGTAATAAATATCTGATCATGAGCCCCAGATGGGGCTCGACACCAAGACTTACTAATTGACCGTCAGTCGCAATGTGACTTTCACTTTCACTTTATTCGGAGATTCAAATGTGGCCAGATTTACTGGGTTTTAGGACTTTGTCCATTGTCCGGTATTCCCGAACACGAAGTGCGAAACCTCAGTAATTCTGAGAGTTATGAACCATCGTCAGACCATTTGGAATCTGCCCGTGCAAATGTGGTTGCAGACGAGAAGCAGGCCATGGTGTTGCACAGTGGCAAAGTACGCAGATACCATACCTCTCAGCAAGATGTGGATATGTGGTTAGAGATTCTAACTCTGTCCGCAGGCGTTTGCCATAAAGCTTCATTCAAACAGCACAATCTTAAGATGTTTGTAAAAATAATGTGTTTCAAAATTTTATTTCGAAGGGGCCTAATGCATACGCTTGCATTTTTGGAGAGACTGCAGAAGAAATTGGTTAAATTGGGGATGCTAAGGACATTTAATAAAGTGTAATCGAACACTGGAATTGAAGCAGGTAGCAAGATTGCTGCTGATATTGATCGGAAAGCCAGAAGGAAAAGACTACTGGGAAGACCAAGACGTAGGTGGGTGAACAATATTAAAATGGACCTTAGAGATATAGGATTGGATGAGATGGATTGGATTGATCTGGCTCAGGATGGGGACCAGTGGAGGGCTCTTGTGAACAGGGTAATGAATCTTCGCGTTCCATAAAATGCTGGAAAGTTCTTGAGTAGTTACACAACTGGCATCTTCTCAAGCAGGGCTCAACTCCGTGAGTGAGTGAGTGAGCAAGCTTGCTGACCTACTGGTTAGTCCTGAAAATGGAGGTGATATATTTCTCCGAAACGTTGGTTGACTTTACCGGACTACAAGGCATTAAATCACAGAAGATACAAATCTTGTTGTTTTTTTTTTATTTTAGTAACTTCAGTTACACTAGACAACAAGGTTACTATGGTAACAAAGTTGGAAACTTTTTTTTCTTCAAATAATTGTGACATAGGACTAATACCAAATTTCTGCAGTAGAATTTTCCGTGATGTTAAAGCTCTGTGTGTTGAATTTTGAGCCTAAGTAGTAAATTTCCAACTTCGTATTTTTAATGTGAGAACAAATGTGGTGCATAATCGGTGCATAAAGGTTTACTTCCATTTTAAATGCCATACTGGGTAATGAACATTATGCCCTAAATACAAATACAGTTGCTAACCGCATTTGTTATCAGCTTATCTCAGCGGCCTACTTCGTATGTGTTATCTAACGTAAATATTTTATTAGTCGAAGAGTACTAATATGACACTGTCTACTGTGGAGACAGTTACGACTTCCATCTTCAGGGTGGAAGAGTAAGACAAGCAACTAGGAAGACTCAAGCACTCAAGCTTGTCTTACTACTCTTCCACCCTGAAGATGGAGGCAGTAAGGACCCCAGAAATACTGATGGACTTCTACCTCACTGTAATGAGAATGGAATAGGGGTGGAAGCATAGCAGAAATGTAGGTTGAAGTGAAAAGTCATGGGAGGAGTGAGAGCTACATTATTGTGAGGGTTGAGGCGAGGGGGGAAGGAGAAAGATCACCATTTTGTTACAAGGTTCCCAGGCTTCGCCCGTTCGTCCATTTGATAAAGGCAGTATGAAAGTGGGGGCGTTAGAATGGTT